CACCAAAATTGACAAAAACCCTTGAAATCTATTAAATTCTTAGTTGAGATCGCTAGCTAGTCTTCTATTTTTAATTACATAAACAACATCGCACGCCTCTATTTCTAGGAATGGACAAAATGTCCAACCAAGTCTGAACGAAAAAAAATTAGTGGTTTTGATTTTATTACCCGACATTTCATTTGATGATTGACAATTTGAAGACGATTTTACTAAATGTTTGAAATTTATTTTTTTCATCAAAACATATATTACTAACTTATAAATATAGAGATCGGTTTTAATTTGTACTTATCATTTAAAAATTAAAATAATAGAATCAGAATCAAACCAAACCAAACCAAACCAGAATCGAATAGTTCAGTTCCGATTTGATTTCATATTTTTTAAAAAAATAAAATTGCTGGTTTCATTATATAAAAAAAAATCGTTGATTCATAATTCTATTCAATTCTCTTAAAATTATAATTAAATAGAACTGTGTCCATCTCTATCCATTGCTCTCTTTCTAACCATTGGGCTCTTAGTTTTGGCTTTCAACCACAGCCGCCGCCAATGTTCACCGAGATCATCCTCATTTCTCTCTCTACTTCTCCATGTAAGAGAAAACTCCAAATTAATGATGCCCCACACTGTCTGCTACTTGGCACTTGTTTGTTTTATATTATTTTCAAAATATGATTTCTTTCCTTATTTTTAACAACACATTTTTCGATAAATAATATAACAAATTCAAATTTGTTATATTATTAAAAATGAATTTTAAGGATATATAATTAAAAATGAATTTTAAGGATCAGTGATTTATAAAATTAAAAATCAACCTCTTAACTAAATCTATCTATGCTTATCTTTTGCTTTAAACTTGGCCCTTGATGGCTATTATTTAAAAAAAAATAAAAAATTGATGTTTTGAATAGTAATTTTTTGGATAATGAATGGTTAAAAAGTTTTTTTTTTTTTTAATTTACATGTAAAATATTTTATTACGTGAAAGTATAATTGAAAATGTATGTGAGAATTAAAGAGTTTTGTTTTAAAGGGAGATAAATAAAGGCTTTGCGGCTGCATTCAAGTATCTACAGCCAATCATCCGTTATACCGTTTATTTATTTTTTAAGGGTTATTGGCGCAAAACGTCCCTACCTATGACGGGTTGTGTGGAAAACGTCCATGTGTTTGATTTTTTGGTGCAGCACGTCCCTACCTATGTATTTTCTTGCGCAAAACGTCCTTTTCCCTAATTTTTAACTTAAAATGACCTATATACCCTCCAATTGAAATAAAAGGAAAAAGGAAAAGGAAAAAAAATAAAGAATAAATTACAATTTGCTCATAAACTTTTTTAAAATGTAAATCAGTCCAAAACTTATGAAAATATTAAAAATAACCAAAAAAAATTAGTCCAAAAAACTAATTTAATTTCACCCAAACTTTACATTTTAAATTTAAAATAATTATAAAAAAAGAAAAAAATAAAAAGACCACCCCATCCCACCCACCCCAGTTCTCTTCTCCACGACTTCCTTCTTCACCTCACACCACCACCCACGACCACCACCCATCACCCATAGTCACCACCCACAGCTACCAACA